TCCACGTTTCGTTGGACCATTCAAAATCATTGAACGTATTGGCAAACAAGCATATCGACTTGAACTTCCAGAAGAGCTGTCTGGTATTCACGATGTATTTCATGTTGGATATCTTCGAAAGTGTTTGGGTAAGTATGATGAAACAATTCCCTTAGCTGAGGTGAAGATTGACGAACGACTGAGATATATCAAGGAACCAGAAGAAATTCTAAACGAAAGAACGGCAAATCTTCGGAACAAGACAATCGATTTGGTATTGGTGAAATGGAAGCATCATCGTGGTCTGAATTGCACGTGGGAGAACAAAGAACAGATGCTTGCCAAATATCCCGAGCTATTCGAGAAATGAAGATTCCGAGGACAGAATCCTCCTTTAACATACACTTTTGCAAATACGTTGCAATTATCCCCTTTATACGTGTTTATGTAATCTGGGTCTTTCAGAATAACGGTGAGAGCATGTCACACCCATATAAATAATGGTCATGTCATAACTCAAAAGTTCAACATAATTAACACTCGAAATAATGTTTAGAATACCAATTTTCCAAGTCTAGGGGAATTTCGGTAAATCTTAAGAAGACGAATACCAAAGGTATATCTTTAACCAATTCCCTAATTTAGAACATTCTTGATACATATCATACGTCGAATATTAAAATTGCGCTTAAAAGTCCAATCCCAAGTCATAGGGGCATTTTGGTAATTTTATTAAGCAATAATCAAAGTATTGTTAAAATACCAATTCCCTAATTGTGAGGTCATGTTGGTAATTTCATAAGGATAACAATCAAAATAAAGCTTAGATACCAATTCCCAATACATAGGATCATTTCGGTAATTTATAAGGCAAATTCGTAAAGTATCGCTAAAATACCGATTTTCATATTGTAGGGTCATTTTGGTAATTTCATAAAAATTATATTCAAAATAAAACTTATATACCAATACCAAGACATAGGGTCATTTCGATAATTTATAAAGCAAATACGTAAAGTATCGCTAAAATACCGATTTCCAAATTGTAGGATCATTTTGGTAATTTCATAGGGATTAGATTTAAAATAACACTTAGATACCAATTCCCAAGACATAGGGTCATTTCGGTAATTTTATAAAATAAATACGTAAAATATTGCTAAAATACCAATTTCCTATTTATAGGGTCATGTTGGTAATTAAACGAGATAAATAATCGAAATTGGGTCAAAGTTTGCATTTTACAAAATACAAATAAACTTATGAAATTCTCATAAAGTTATTATGGCGAAAATTATTTCTGGAAATTCAGGAGATTAAATGCTAATTTCTGAAACTTAAATGTTTAGTGCATATTAATAATATCATTGCATAAAAATAACAAAACCCATACCTAGCCTACTAGTTAACACGCTAAAGCTTCTGCTAGAGGTGACGGGTTCGCTCAGCGCTCCCATTCTTTCGTTTTAAAATAGGAACGAACGCGGGTCTTGGGTCGGGTCAACCCGGTCCGTGAACTAGGCAAAAACAACAAGGAAAACAACAGCCATGGCTGCACGTTTTCAAGCTTTTTGAGCTTGAAAATGGCTCGTTTCTTGACCTCTTTTCTTCATTATTTTTGCACCAAACTCTTGGTAATATTTTTACCAACACTTTGACATAAAGAACACGAATTTTTGTTTTTATAACTAAAACTCAACAAGTTAAATAACATAAAATTGAACCATCTAAACCAAATATGAGATATGAAGCTTCTGGGGTTTGATAGAGTACTTAAAAACGAAGCAATAGACATAAAAACCAAGAGATTTAGTTAAGAATCTCACCTAAAATCGGTGAAAAACCAAGATTTTCAACCCGAACTTCAAACTCAGAGTTCTCTCTCAATATTTGCTTATTTTCTAAGCTATTTGAACCAAAATGATCCTAAGCCGGTGCTCTATATTTGTATGCAACAGTTTTGGCTTATTAGTTGACGAAATCAGACCAAATTGCGAGTTTTTGGCTGAGGGGTCGTTTTCTCCAAACAGACATGTACTGTTGACAAAACAGGTCCCTCATCTTTGAAAAAGATGACATTCGCCCTCCTGAACTTTCTGACATTTACCACCAGGCCCCTGCTCTCACTATTTTAGTAAGACTTACATATTTTACCCCTAAATCAACATTCAATTTCACTTTTGGTCATTTCTAATTTTAAGATTTCGATAATTATTTCCTTCAATTAATCACATAAATATTTTAACACTTTAAATAAATTTAATAAAAAAAATATATTTAAAGGCTCATATAATATTATTTATATATTTTAAAAATTTGGGTTTTACAACTCTCTCCTGATTGAAAGTAAATTCCGTCCTCGAAATTTCTACTTAATTTTGGCATGCTTAGATTTTATCTTTATTTCAGATTTTTTCTATCACGAGAGAATCTTTTGGTTATTCATTATTATTCTAATCATTTATTCATTTCAGTCTTACATGCATGGCCAATTCGCACCTATTATAGCTTAATCCTCTAATGTCTATAATAACAATCGAATCTCAAATTTCCAACTATTGATTGGTAACACGTCAATAATATGCCTATTAATCATAGTATATTTATCATCAATGATAATCTTTAAATTGTGACAAGGTAATTCAACTAAAAATAATTAAACTTAACACATACAACGAGTTAATTGGCACACAAAACTAGTAAATGCATGCTTAAATATTCGATAATTAACAAAGTACCTCACACTGCGCATGGTGCAACCTATGCCTCTTCAGCAGTCATTTAAAAAACTCGTCCTTTGGTTTTAGGCACCTCAGGTTTCTTACCGTTTGGTCCTTCGAGCAACTTCAGTTGCACAAGATCCTTTTTGGGACATTCATTGGAGCGATCTCCGACAGCCCAACATGAATAACAAGTAAATCTTGTTTTGCATTCCTTTGACATATGACCAGGTTCCCCACAACTAAAACATACTCCTTTACCATACCTACATTCACCATGATGGAATTTTCCGCAAGTGACAATGCGGTCGAAGTTCTAATATTTTCGTCCGAAACTCGAATTTCTCTTGGACTCGTCAACATTGACAGCTTTCCTCTTCAATATCTTATTACAGACATCTGGGCCATAACTATCCTTTTCAGCAAGGGTGGCAAGTTCAACACCTCTTGAAAAGTCTTAGGTTTTGACGTCCCCACCAATCTTCTAATGTCCCTTTTTAGTCCATCAACAAATCGATCTACCTTTCTCTTCTCGGTAACGACTTGATGTTCAGCAAATCGAGATTTCTCTATAAAAGTCTCTACATATTTCTCTACAGTCATACTTCCTTGCTCTAAATATAAAAACTCACTTTCTAATATCCTCATCTGGAGTGGAGAGAAATACCTCTCACTCTTTAATCCCTTAAACTCATCCCAAGAGAGAGATGCAATATTTGCCAATCCCCTAGTGACACAAACTGATTTCCACCAATGTAGCGCATTTGACTTAAACATAGTTGATGCAAATTGTGACATGTCACTAAGTGCACATTGACAAGTCAGGAAACAACTTTCTATCTCATCTAACCAGTTTATAGCTGCTAGAGGCCCATTTTTTCCCTCGAAAATAGAAGGACATGTGCTGGTGAAGGATTTGTAACTACATCCTTTGTTATCGGGTTTCTTAACTTCTTTATGATCGGAGTGTGCCTCCCCGTTCGACTCCTCATGATTGTGAGATTCATTATTAGTCGACTTCTTAATTTCATAAGTTTCATTTTCGAAGGTCTATTATGCTTCAAACGAGCTTCTACCATTTTAAGTGTTGCAGTTTGGATCGCTCAAGCATTCCAGGTAAAGCAGTGCGTATACAATGTGCCATCTCTTTGGCAGTGTTCACTTCTAGCTGTGTAGGCAGAATCAACGGTCTACTAGGACCATCCGGCTTCGGGTTAGGGTTGAGGTCACTCCCTTGAGTCTGTTATCTTTACATGTTGGTGCCGTTAGGGTCTACAAGATGTGTATAACAGTTTGTAGAAGAGGGGGGATGAATATAAACACATTAAACTTTTCAAATTTAAAATATATATTAATAAGGAAGGATCAATACAAATTTTACAAGATTGTTTGCAGAAAGATAAGGTAAAGATA